CATTGGTAGTCAACGAGTGAAAGAGAGAGAGAAAGAGAAAAAGGTGAGTTCCACCTATAACACGCAGCACGGTCTTGAATTTTCTTATTTGCTTCAACTATGACGCAAGGTTTCTCGTTTAAAAAACAACGATGCTGATGATGACGAAGACGACTACATCAACAACGTAAACTCCACCTGCGTCAAAGTAAGATAAATAATATTACGAAGACGCGAATATTTCGTTTAAGAATTTCTGCAAAAGAAAAGAAAAAAGAAAAAAGAAAAGAAAGAAAGGAAAGGAACGGGAATGATTCATCACGGTAATCCCGCGACCCGATGAAAAAAAAGAAAAAAAAAGAAAAAATAATAAATAATATCGTAAGAAAAAACGAGATGAAAGGAAGGAAGCAAAAGATAAAAGAAATAAGAGGTAAGATTGATATTCTTTCTTTTCTATCCCCATTTTATTATTCGAACAAACCAGTCGATGGTAGCAAGAAACGTAAAACGTTACTGGTCGGTGACTTCTCGATTGAAAAAAAAAAGTTTCTACCGATCAGCTGATTCTTATTTCTCATCGATCGATTCCTATTCCATCTCTCTTTATTTTCATATTATTTTTCTAACACACAAATCTAAATTGATTTTATTTTATTAATTTATCTCGTTTTTTACGAAGGAATTAATTTTCGTCATCGATTTATCTCTCTTAGACGAAAGGAAAAAGTATTTTGTCTTCTTTCTATTTTGCATTATATTTTCTTCTACTTTTTTTTTTCGTGGTCCAGGAAAATAAATCAACGAGTCTTTTGATAATTCAATATCGACGATGATAATCGATGAATGCATGCATGCATTGACGATAAATACGAAAGAAGGTAAAAATATACGTAACGGTTTTACTTTTACGTTCAAATCTTCAGGTAAAAATCGATTTTAGGAAAATTTAAAGACGATCGTATACCATCGGTTGTTATGCTCTTTGCTCTAACCACAGAGGGTAGGTTGGATTTAAGAGAGACAGAAAGAACAAGGGAAGAGAACGAGAGAGAGAGAGAGAGAGAGAGAGAGAGAGAGAGAGAGAGAGAAGGAAAGAGAGAGCCTTACGTTATTCTCAAGGAAAAAAAAGAAGAAGAAAATAGAACGAGGGTTAAAATTGCGAGGGGTTGGTTGTACGAACAGCTGCTAGCTAACGTAAGAATAGTCGTCAGCTTGAAACCGACCTACTAGAAAAGCAAATCAAAAAAAATCGTTTATACCTGAATTTGTTAATAAAAAAAAAGAAATACGAAAAAAAAGGTCAAACAAAATATATCATTAGATCGTTTAAATATAATCGAATTTCCTCTATTAATAAAACGAGAATGAAGGTTGTTTATTCGTCAAATAACAGTTATTAATTTCGCGAAATAAAATATATAGAGAAAATTGATATTAAATAATTATCATCGTCGTTATATTATTTATTATCTTAATTAATGACGATTAAAATTGTTCTTATTTGTAACAGCGTTAATTTTAATTATTCAAGTAATTAATAATTAAATATGCAAAATATTAAGTGTTCGTCTCAAAGGGTTTGATAATAAAATTTGAGAAAATTTAACGGCTCAAATGATACGCAATTTTATTATTAATTGTTATTTAATTTAATTAATTAATCATGCCTTATTTCGAACGATTATACACACACACACACATATAGACACATGCATGCAAACAATTCGATACGGAAATCATTAACTTTCGTGTAACAATTGCCACGCGTCCGAAGACAAATGAGCTCGAAGAAACCGGTTCTCGACTGGATGATTTTTTAAGGACCTCCACCCTCACCCTTCCCCTATCTTTCTTTTACTTCGGACCTCCTACAAAGTTCAACAAGCGAAAAGAATCGTTTTACTTTGCGTTGGTCCATCGGTACACTAGTTTAATTCGATACATCTATTTCCCTTTTTGATCTTAGAAAATTATTAATTATTCACGTTATCGCGCGTTTCTTATTGTTTTTTTTTTTTTTTTTTATTAACATTAAACCTACCACGTGCTTCCTGTAATTTAAATATAAAAAACGTATAACAAAATATCTACATTATTCATTTATAAATAATAGAAAATATTTGTTATTCAGTATTAAATTGAATTAAAATCTCATTCTATAACAGGATACATGCTTTGCTTCTTTTTTTAAACTGTCATTTGACTACTCGCGATAGGAATAGCTATAGAGACGAAGTAATATAAAATAAGTTTAGTATTAACAAACAAGAACATTTTAAAATACGAAAGTAACAAACAAATAACAAAAATAATAATAGAAAATCCCAGTCAAGATAATTCTTTCAAAAATAATTTTAAAATACAAAAAAGAAAAAAAAAACAAATCCTTTTAATTTTTCATTCACGACTTCTCTCTCTCCCTCTCTGTTCATTATCGTCGATGTAAAAAACAAGAAAGAAAGAAAAGAAAAAAAAAAAATAATCTTACTAGCCCAGTCCGATCGAGCTTTCGTGTTCGTAGTAGTTGTGTCGTTGGCGATGATGCTTTTGTCTCTCGGCGTCATCGGTGTGCTTGAAAATTTGCTCTAAGAGAGATATCGGTGAAAAACTATGAGTAAAGAGAGAGAGAGAGAAGAAGAAGAAGAAGAGATGCAGCAAAGAACGATGCTGCTGCCTGCTGCTACTGTTACTACTACTACTACTACTATTACTACTACTACTAATACTATCACAATCACTACTACTGTTACTGCCGCTTCTGCTACTGCTATTACTACTACTACTACTACTTCTGTGCTATGGCAGACAAGACAAAAAGTTCTTTGGGAATAGAGACGAAGAGAGAGAGAGAGTGAGAGAGAGATAGATAGAGAAAGTAGAAGAGAGGAAGAAGGTTTCCACTTCGCAAAAGCTGTCGCTGACAATGGACGCTGCTCGTGGAAAAAAGGGTCGTGACTGGTTGGGAACAGCGAATATCTGATGAGAACGGTATGTGCGGAATAGGGTGGAGAAGAAACCTGACGGAGAGAAGGGAAAGATAGAAAGAGAGAGAGAAAGAGAGAGACAAAGGAAAAGGAAAAAAGAAGACAAGAGCAAGAGACTCGCGTGGTTACTGCTAAATCATCCATTGAAGGAAAAGTCGGTCAACGATGCGAACGCATACACTGAAACACGCGTCTATGTGGGGAAGGGGGGGAAGAAGATAAGTATATATGTATGTATGTATGTATGTATGTATGTATGTATGTATGTATGTATGATAAACGATGCTGCAGCTAGATGGGAGGGGGTGAGGGGTGAGAAAGAGGAAAGTAAAAAATCGAGCTATACGAAAGACTCGCACAGCAGATAAGTACAATCTACCTGGCAGACTCGATAGGTGGTGGTGGGAGAAAAAATGAGAGGGGTTTGGTGGTGGTAGAGACTTTTTGGAGATGCGAAGGATGAAACCGATGAATACGAGAAAGGGATGGGCGAGGGGTTGAGTGGAAGACAGATAGGATGATGATGATGATGATGATGATAAAAGAAGATAGTAGAGTATAAACTGTGTTCAATCAAAAATTCAAATATACCACAATATAATAGTTAATCTATTATAATATATTTTTCTCTCAGACGTATTTTTTCGTTTTATTAAAAATTTCTATAAATTTATCTTGACACAATCTATATATTATGGTAATATATATATAAATTTTGGTATATTCTTCGAGATATAAAAAAGAAAAAAGCGCGATAAAATGTGGTGCATTTTTTTTTCTTTTTTTTTTTCGAAAGCGAACGATCATCGTGAACGATCTATGATCGAATAAGGAGAACGAAATCAAACGACTGGTAGTCTTGCGAAAAGGACGTCAACTATTAACGAGAGATTTCGATCGAACGTAAAGAAAAGTGGATGACGGTGGAGAGGATGGTGAGTAGGGGAGAGAGGAGGGGGGGGGGCGGAGAGAGAGAAAATTCGTACCATCGAAGACCGATAGCTCTCATGCTTTTTGGTGGATATATCGGAAAACTCGGGTCACGGAACATCGCCGATAATTATCGGAGACGAGAATGGTAGATAACCGCTGACCGAACCGCAAAAAGTAATGTTCGAAGTTGCGTACTTGAATCGTTATCCGTCGTCCGTTCGGTGAGTCAAACAAATTCGTTTTTCCCTTCATTTTTATAAGTATTGCCTAACTAAAGTTGTCCTACAGTAATTTTGTAACCGGTTAGGTTTTATCATTTTAACGATTCCGATATAGGAAAAAAAGGGAGAAAATAAATAATTAATTTTATATTTGTTCTTGTTTCTTTTTCTCTCTCTTTCTTTCTTTATCTCTCTCTCTCTCTCTCTCTATCTGTCTTTTTCGAAGAGAATGAAAATGAAACGATTTATAATATCGCCTAGAATGTTAAACCACCGTATAGAGGGTAACATTAGACGCGTGAGATCAAAATAATACAACGGTAGAGTGTTACTACAAGAAATACATGTTGCAGAGTGCCGTCACTTTACTTATGCCTCGCCCTTTGATACTTCGCAACGACAGTATCCGGAAGAGGACGAAGCAAACGACAAGAAGATCGTTGCCCGGATAGACGACACGTTAACCTCGGAAACATAACGCGAGTTCCTTTACGGAATGATATTTACGTCTGTATTATAGTAAATGCATAAATATGTATTTATATTATCCTATAAAGATGATATTTCGAAATTCTCGATCCATAAATAGACGAAAGTTTCATGAAAGATTTTCGATGTATACAAATAGGTCAATAACCTCCTCTCTGCTTGTTTATAAATATAATATTTACTATAGGAACACACAAATATATACACGGATCCATTTGTATTGTTCCTGATATAAAAGTAACGATGTCGAAATTAAATTTTCGAAGAAGGCAAGTAAAGGACAATTTCGTTAAACTTCGAGGAATAAAAAGATACATATAGAGAAAAGGAAAAAAAAAAAAAGAAATAAAGAAAAAAAAGGAAGAAATTCGTAGGCGTGGCCTGCGCTCACCTAAGCCCATCTTGCGTTTAAGCTTCTTCAATACTTTCATTTTGCTGCGAAGTGGTCCGAGAATGTTGCTGTTGTCACCGTTGTTTTGGACCTCAACCGGCGCGTTGTTTTTATCTTGATGACGATGATTGTGGTTGTGATAATTCGGATGAATAGTATGATGTACCTCGTGGTGATGATGGTGATGATGATGATTATTATGTCGTTGATGTTGTTGCTGTTGCAATTGATGATGATGGTGATGTTGTTGAAGTTGTTGCTGGTGCACGCTTGCGCTTGGACTAGCAACGACGTGACTCGCGCAGCAGTGACAGGGTTGGCTCTTGCTGCCCTTGACCGCGCACTCTCCGGACACCCCCATAAATCTGGCCGTGCTGCTCTCGAGAGTCGAGAGCGTGCGAAATCTTGAAATAATTAATACGGACGAATGTACGTGCGAAGATCAAATACCACGAAGATGGAATCCAACTTTCAATGATGATGTATTTTTATCCGTCTTCTTGCGAAATGAGAAAACGAACGATCAAATGTATCAAAATCAAATACGAATAAACGTGAACACAGTTTTGTCCGTCACTCGAAGCACAACGAAGATAAATAAAAAATCCACCGATAGAAATGTTTCCGTTAGATGGAATTGTTTCGCCAAAAAAAAAAATATAATTAATAATAATAATTATATTATATATTTTTATATGTATATATATATATATATGTAATAATAATAATAAAAATAAAAATAATAATAAATCACGAGAGTAGCGAAACAATGACTAGAATTCTTCTTATTTCGATCTTTCTCTTGCACTCACAGCCACGGATCTTCTTTCTTCAAGTTGACGTAACTCGAAATGCGATTCGTTGTTTTGTATTAATATCAAAGAATTAATATATATATATATATATATATATATATGTGT